GAAGTTCCGGAAACCAAGCCCCTGCGAATGCTCAGGTCCACAAGGTAGGCTGAGCTCAGAGCCTGGGGAGTGGAGGAAGCGAACAGGGTCCCGGACATGGTGGGAGGCTGAAGGGTTATTTGCAGGGGTGCAGCCTTCCTTTGGGACATTACAGCAGCCTCCAGGCTGTGGGCGCCTAGTGGGGAAGCCTTGAGTCAGACGGGACAGTGGAAGGGAGGCGAGGTGGCTCCGGAGAGCGCCCCTCCCGGTCACCACTCCCCAACCCCTCTTCCTACTCGTGCTCCCTCCCCATCTCTTCCTCCATCCCCCACTCCTTCCCCCTCTTCCTTACCTCCTCGCCTCCCCCTTTCCTTTCTCTCTCCCCTTCGCCTCCCTCTCTCCCTCCACATCCCCCACCCTGCCCTCTTCCCAACCTCCTCCCTATCCCCTCCTCCCCGTCTCCTTCCCCCCTTCTCCCTCCTTCCTCCCTTCCCCTCCAACCTCTTCCGCACCCCCCTCCACCCACCCTCGTTGCTCCAGGCCCTGCCCACAGATTCCCTTGTTTCGCTGGTTCCCTGGGAGTCTCCATAGCAACGGACGCTGAGTTCTGGACTCCGACTCAGCCTTGGGCGCGGCTCTGCAGGAGGCTCACGTCTCAGGCAGCGATGGAGAGCTGGGGCGACACGCCTGAGACCAAGGGGTGCCGGAAGATCATCCAGGGCCTCGAGGCCTCTATTGAACAATTCCAGTTCAACCACAGGTGACCCGCAGGAGAGGCATCCCCCGCCGGTTCGCCCCGAGCCCTCGCGCCCCAGCCCTCACTCCTTGCCATTCCAGGGCCCTGGCTTCAGCCTCTGGGCTTCAGTTTTTCTGTTTGTTTTTCGAGGGGACCACTGTCCGAAAAGAGCTACAGTTTTCCCTTCTTCGGCGTATAGCTGGACACTAAGAGCACGGATTCCGAATCTTGGCCACCCGCTCACAGGGGCTGTGAGTTAGACTACTGACCTCTCTGTGCCTCACTTTCCTCAACGGGAAATCATCTAGCGCCTGTTTCATAGATCCTAGTGAATATTAAATGAGCTAATCTAGGGCACAGTACCTGTCTTAGTCCCCTCGGGCTGCTGTAACAAAACAGCATGGGCTGGGTGGCTTATGAGCAACAGTAATTTGTTTCTCCCGGTTCTGGAGGCTGGGAAGCCCACTGCCGATTCCGAGTCTGATGAGGGTCCCTTCTGCACATACAGTACCTCCTGGCTGTGTCATCACATGGCGGAAGCAGCAAGGGCGTTTTCCACTATCCCCCACACCTGCTCCCACCCTGCTTTTAGAAGGGCACTCATTCCATTTATAGGGCTCCACTTTCATGACCTAATCACCTCCAGAGCCCACACCTGCTAATATCATCATCTTGGGGTTAGGATTTCAACATGAATTTTCAGGAGACACAAACACACAAACCACAGCAGAATCATGGAAGTGTCTGCCGAAGTCGTTATTTGCTATTCCTTGGTCCTTGTTTATAGCCCTTCCCTTTTGTAATCCTTTGCCCCCTGTGTTCTAGTTTTGTTGTTTATTTGGATAATGTAGCCTGATGTTTCTGGGAAAATGCAAATTTCTTTCTAAAAACCTTTTCAAATCAATAGGTAGCCAGCACTAGCTTAGCTGCTGTGGGAGAACTTAGAGTTGTTTAACGAAGGGGCCTCATGGTGCCAGGTGGGCTGGCTTACGGACAAGCCCCTCACACAGATGCAGCTCCAGGGTAAGAAGAAAGGACCGCAGGTGTCCTAGCCCAGCAGTGGGACTGACCCAGTGAGGCAGTGCTCCTGAGCTTGGCTTCCCCAGTTTCACCGTATTCAATGGGTACGTTTGTTAAAATGGGTCAGTCTAGTGGTGATTGTGAATAGCACCTATTAGAGGCAGCACGTGGTAAACACCAGCACACAGTGTCTACCCTGGTCTAGTGTTTGCTGATAGGAATGGTATCCTGCCCTGGACTCCTTGGCATTCCATGGTGGGGAATGCCACCAAAAAATTACACCTGCTGGGCTCAAGGGCAGACTGATGGTACCAGGTGCTCACTGACTGGACAAAAGAACCACTGATCCTATATTCATTCGCCTTCACCCAGAGTGCTAGGGTGACCGAGCCAGTGCCTGGGTGTGAATGAGAGAGGCTCAGGTGTTGACTGAAATCCTGGGATCTGAGGCCTGAGCATGCCAGGATAATGCACAGAGGAGCAGGGGTCTATAAAGCAGATGAAAGCCCTGCCTTTGTGGAGTGTGCATCCTAGTCAGGAACCAATGATGAACTAGATAAACAAGTAAACTATATAATAAGTTAGATAGTGGTTAGTTATAAGGAAGAAACCTAGCATAGGGAGAGAGAAGAGGGGTATGGGGGTGTGTGGGGGGGACCAAGTAGGGAGGGAATTGTGATTTAATTTAATTTTTTAATTTTTATTTTAGAGTCAGGGTCTCATGCTGTCACCCAGGCTAGAGTGTAGTGGAACAATCATTGCTCAGTGCAGCTTTGAACTCCTGGAGTCAAGCGATTCCTCCACCTCAGCCTTCTGGGTAGCTGAAACAACAGGCACATGCCAGCATGACTAGCTGTTTTTCTGCTTTGTTTGTTTTTGTTTTTTAAATACCTGTTCTTCCTGTGTTGTCCAGGCTGGTCTCAAACTCCTGGGCTCAAGCAGTCCTCTGGCCTCGGCCTCCCAAAGTGCTGGGATTACAAGAATAAGCCACCACACCCAGCCTGGACTGCAGATTTTAGATATGGTGATCAGGAAAGCCGTCACTGAGAAAATGACATTGGGGTGAAGACTTGATGGGGGAGCTCTAAGGATCTATCAGGGTACCAGGTGTTCTAGGCAGAGAGAACACTGGGAAGAAAGATGGTACCTAGATGTCCTAGGAGCAGCAAGGAGGCCAGGGTGGCTGGAGCAGAGAGAGGGAGAGTAGTGGAGATGCAGTCAGAGGGAAGGGGGTCGGTGCCTGGAGTGAGGGACTTTGGACCACCATAAGGACTTCAGCTTTTACTTTGAGATGGGAAGTCATGAAGGGATTGGGATAGAGGAGTGACAGGATTTGATTTATCCTTCAATGGGATGACTCTGCTGCTTTGATAACAGACTAAAATGAGGACAAGGGCAGAAGCAAGGAAACAGGAGACTATTACAATATTCCTCATGGAAGATGACCGTGGGGCAGCGGTGGTTGGGGTTGCAGAGAGACCTTGATGAACAGGTAGAATGGAATTGCCATTAACGCAGATGGAGAAGATAATGAGATGAACAGGTCTGAGGGGAATGTCATAAGCTTACTTTTGGTCATGTGATGTCAGCAGTGACTGTTAGGCATCCATTTAGGCTGTTAAGTAGGTAGTTGATTATATGAGTCTGAAGTTGAGAGGTTCAGCTTGGCTATATCAGTTTGGAAATAATTAGCACAAAGATGGTGTCTTAAGCTGAGAGTCTTGAGACATCAGGCAGGAAGTGAGTGTAGTTAGAGAAGTTTATGAGCCATGAGGCACATCAAAGTTCTGTGCTCATCGAAGAGGAATAAAAGGAAGCCGTATTCTTATTTAGCACTGAGAAGTATGCCACAGTGAAAGTTTAGCACACCTAATGCTATCTTCATTTACTGATTTATTATAGGCATAGGAGGGACAATTCTAGGATTCAGTGAAAAGACTCATTGCATTTTATTAACACATTTTCGTAGGTCTGTTTTCCAAAATAAATTAGGACGTTAATTTTGTATCTAATTTATTTTTAAAAGCGTAATTATATTCCCAAAATTCTGTTTTATGCATAACAACCAACTTATTATTCAGAAATAGAATTGCTGAGACTATAAATAAAGACTGTGTAGGAATCACTTAGCTAATTTGTTGTGATGTGGATTTCCATTCTAAGCATCGGGGTTGTTAGCTAAAATTACAGACATTTGGAATTGGAAGGGACACCAAATAATACATCTTCCTCTTTCACTTAGATTCTGAATGAGCTGGATCTTTTTGAATCAGTCACATAAAAAGTTAGAACTGGTGAAACCGTAGAGTCATGGGCTTATCCTCATCAGGGATTTAGAAGAAGAATCTGCCACTTCCGGCTTATGATTTTAGATGAGTTATTTACTTTCATTGAACCTCAGTTTCCATATCTTCGAAACAAAAAAAATTAGCATCTCTCTTCTAAGATCATGTTTAATATATGTATCTTGAGAGCATGGGACAAGTTAGGCACTCAATAGCTGTGTACTAATAATATTCGTAGACACTCTGGAGGAGGTATCTATAAAATTATTGGATCTGATTTTATTTACTTATTTATTTTTGTTTATTCATTTATTTTGAAATGGAGTCTCACTCTGTCACCCATGCTGGAGTGCAGTGGTGCTATCTCACCTCACTGCAACCTCCATCTCCTCAGTTCAAGCAATTCTCCTCCCAAGTAGCTGGGATTACAGGTGCATGCCACATGCCCAGTTAATTTTTTTTTTTTTCATATTTTTAGTAGAAACAGGATTTCATTGTGTTAGCCAGGATGGTCTCGATCTTCTGACCTCGTGATCTGCCCACATCAGCCTCCCAAAGTGCTGGGATTACAGGTGTGAGCCACTGTGCCTGGTCTTATTTTATTATTATTTTTTTAAGACAGAGTCTCTCCCTCTTTCGCCCAGGCTGGACTGCAGTGGTATGGTCACAGCTCACTGCAACCTCTAACTCCTGGGCTTAAGGGATCCTCACTTCAGCCTCTTAACTAGCTGGGGTCACGGGTGTGTGTTACCATGCCCAGCTAATAACATGTATTTTGTATTTTTGTAGAGACAGGGTTTCACCATGCTGCCCAGGCTGGTCTCAAACTCCTAAACTCAAACAGTCTGCCTGCCTCAGCTTCCCAAAGTTCTGGTGTTAGCCGCTGTACCCAGCCTGGACCTGATTTTAAAATATCATATAGTGTTATTGTAATATTATGGCACCAGAAGGAATAACTTAAAACATAACTTCAATTTCTAAATCATATCCTGAAAAAATATGTATTGATAAAAACTATTCACACTCCATAAGCCTACCACCCACAATAAGTCTTTTGCTTAAAATGAGAAGGAACAAAAGAACATACATGTTCATGCTTAAGGAAAAATGTGGCTGAATAGTAAAAAGGAGCTGCTTAGCACTGGGTAGGGTAAGGGATTGCATTTCTAGCCTAGAAAGATGAATCCCTGAGGCCTGTTAAATGTGCAGCAGTGTAGACTATACAGAAACAGAGTTAGTTCCTGTGGCTGTTTATATTTTCTATATTGATGTAGCACTCAGTGCAGACAGGAGGCAGAAACTTCAGCAGTAATTTGAACAGGGACTATTTTCTGTTCTTTATTAAATATTAAGAAGGATTTTTAACCAGAAAGAAGCAGTAAGGTGGTGAAAGAAGACTCTAAGCAACGCAGTGATAGCAAATGCGAAAAGCAGCTATGACCTCCAGGTCTGAGGAAGAGAGAACAGGGCAGGAACGAAGGAGTGAGAAGACCCGACCTCAAAGGCTGAGATTCGGACAAGACCTCTTCGGAGACAGGGTTGTGGCAGAGAAACTTGCCAGAGGGTGTGACAACTGCTGGTCTGCAGGGATGGCTTGCCCAGTGACTGAGAAACTTGCTGAAAGGTACAGACAGGTCAAAGTTCTGTACCTGGTTGCGAAATCCAAATCTTCATTCTTGGAAGTCCTGAGTTCCTAAAAGTTCTGCTCTCTTTTTTGGGGGCGGGGGGTGCTGCATTTCCTCTGTTAATCTTTACTACTGGGCACAGAAACCCTAAGAGGCACCCCGAGGGATCCTCTGGGTTCCAGAGTTCTCCTTGACTCCGTTGTGCACCAGCAACCCAATTGCCCCTTGGTATTCAGAATCGATCACTTCAGCCAGCAGAGTGACCCCCTTTTCTGCCTTTGTTTCAGCACCTTAAGGATCACAAAGTGACCGGTCATCAGTGTCATCTAATTCAATAGAATTTTTGTCACGTTTTCTGGTGGAAACATTCTTCCCTTGGGAGCTAAGACTTCCAAATCAGCAAATCCTAAAGTTGCAGAAACAAGAAGCTATAATTTTGGCATAAGACTGAGAGGCACCTCTTGATTCTTGGCATATGGCTGTAAGAGAGATAGCACCATATACTGTTTCAAAGCATGCGCTGCATCCTGTGACACAGAACCACATTCTTTCATGGATTTGCTTCTTCTGAATGTTGCTGGCAGTACAAGGTGTGTACCACCATGCCCAGCTAATTTTGTTGTTGTTTTTTTGTAGAGACAGGGTCTCACTATGTTGCCCAGGCTTAAACTCCTGGGCTCAAGTTATCTTCCCTGCTTGGCCTCCCAAAGTGCTGGGACTAGAACCACTGTGCCTGGCCTCAAATGAATCTTCAGTAAGCTATTTGACCTTTCTATTAGGCCAGCCACTTCTGGGTGATGGGTTATATGATAAGATCACTGAATTCTATGGGCATGAGTCCGTTGTTGCCTGTCTTTTGCTGTGAAATGAGGTCCTTGATGGGAGCTGATGCTGTGAGAATACCGTGAACATATAGAACATAAGGTGTTCTATAGGTTCATGCCTGGTGGTTCTGGCTGGTACAGTCGAGTCAGGGAATGCAAATCCATATCCAAAATAAATGTGTATTCTAGTGAGGATGATGGACGAGGTTCAGTGCTGTGAACCTGTCACTAGGTGGCTGGTTGTTCCCCATGGTTCATGCTGCCATGTTGGGACCTCAGTCTTGATCTCTGCTGTTGACTAGTTAGGCACTCAGCACCTGAGGTGTCCAGGCCAGCCTTGGTAAGGGGAAAACCACATTGTTTAACTTGATCCCTGACACCATGGCCATTTTGTTTAAGGGCCATCAAGCAAACAAGGGTGGCTGCAAAAGGAAACTGACCAATAGCCACAGAGTGTGTCATTGCCTAATTATTTAACTGCTTTCTCTGCAGTGGATTCCCTTGGGTGAGCATTCAGATGCCGCAAAAACACCGTTAGAGTCTGTGCCCATTTTCAAAGCCTCATCCACAGAACTCTTCCCAGACACTCTTGACACCCATCTGTCAATCTGTTCCTTCCAAGTTCCTGAACATCCTGCTAACTCTTTAGCAGCTGCCCAATTAAGAAAGGCCATTGAATGTGAATTAAATATGTAAAAAACTGTCATATAAAAAACTTTGTATTTTCAAATACAATGAAAAGACTGTGACATTTCAGAACATAGTAGTGACGATAGAAACCACCACTGCAGCACCAATAAGGGGTAACGTGTCTTGAGGACTTCCTGTGTATCAACAATCATTCGAAGTACGTCTAAGTACTAGCACACTAAATTCTCACAGTAACTCTATGAAATGGGGACTATTATTTTCTTTAAGAGGAAACTAAGGCACAGAAAGATTTAGCAATTTATCTCATGTCACATAGTGACAGCATCAGTGAGGATGTTTTCGGCTACAGTTGACAGAAACTGCCAACAATCGGTGCACTTCTTTTGTGGCATTACTGGAAGATGCAGGTATGACAGGCCTCAGAACTTGTTGAGTCGATGGCTGAGCAAAGTCATCAGTCAAATTTATTTCCATCTTTGTTTTTGAGACAGAGTCTTGCTCTGTCACCAAGGCTGTAGGGCAGTGGTGTGATCTCAGCTCACTGCAGCCTCTGCCCTTCAGGTTCAAACAATTCTCGTGCCTCAGCCTCCTGACTAGCTGGGATTATGGCATGTGTCATCACACCCAGCTAATTTTTGTATTTTTAGTCGACATGGGGTTTCACCATATTGGCCAGGCTGATCTCAAACTTCTGACTTCAAGTGCTCTTCCCACCTCAGCCTCCCAAAGTGCTGGGATTATAGTCATGAGTCACCATGGCCAACCTATTTCTATCTTTTTCGACATCTGTGCCCTGGCTGGCCCCTCTTGTGATCACTGAGTGATCGTGTCAGTTCTTGGCATTACTTCCACCCTCAGCAAAGTCCAGAGTCAAGGAAGAAACCTCTCCTCTGGCACCCCCTTTTAGGAGTGTAGAAAGCTTTCTTACTAGCCCCCAACTGATCCTTCCTAAATCTCCCTCTTCAGTCCTGAGTTCTACACCCATCCCTGGACATCGACTGCCAACGAGAGTGGGATAACTGTGATGGGCATAGCCCAGCTTGGAGTTACACTTGGCACTGGGGATATGGCCAACTTCATCTGAGTTCTGTGGGGGACAAATCTGAGGCTTGGCCCGCATGCAAGAAGAGGGGAATTGCCATGGCTGCCCTGCATTGGGGTCTGCTCTTGTTGGCAGAAGAGGCAGGATATAGAATCAGACATTCTGCCTTTTGCACCTACACTGAGAAGTCTGATAATTCTACTTGGGCTTCTGTGGTTCTCTTCTTTAGCTGACATTTTAGAAACGGTTGTGGCTGGTTTAATCAAATTGACAGAGTGCATCAGAAAACTGCCTTTTTAATGCTGTTTGAGATGCCTGTCATTACAAATCTGTATTCGTTGACAAACACTTGCTCCTGGCCTATTCAGATTTTTTAGGAAGAGTGTTTGAAAATCAAATATAGGAGGGTGGTGTGATCATCTTAAAGAAGCAATTCTCAAACATTTTTATTTCAAGACCTCTCTATATTCTGAAAAATTATCAGCGCCCTCAGAGAGCTTCAGTTTATGTTGGTCCTATCTATTGATAGTTGCCAGATTGGAAATTTAAAATATATTTAAATTGATTCATTTAAAATAAGGATAAACCAGGTGTGTGTTGATATAAATACCATATTTCATTTATTTTGGTTTTTTTTGTTTTTTGTTTTTGTTTTTGTTTTTTTTGAGACAGCTTCTTTCTCTGTTGCCGAGGCTGGAATGTGGTGGTACGTTCACAGCTCACTGCAGCCTCAACCTTCTGGGCTCAAACAGTCCTCCTGCCTCAGCCTCTCGAGTAGCTGGAAATAGACTATTTTAAAGAAAAAACTAACTATATTGTTTTAAAACAAAACCTTTCAAGGGAAGAGTGTCACTGTGTTACATTTTTGCCAAGCTTTTCCATGCCTGGCTAAATGGAAGAGAGCTCAATTCTCATAGCTGCTTCTGTGTAATCTATAGCCTCAGGAAAACTCCACTGAACATTTGTGAGCAAATGATAGTAAAAAAGACAAATAAAATCTTAATATTATTATAAAATTAGTTTGATCTCATTGATATTCTAAAAGAATGTCGCAGAACCCCAGGGGTCCTCAGACCATACTTTGAGAACCACTGTCTTAAAGGGTTTCTGCTGAATAGGCCCGTAAATAATCTAGAATTATTTCCAGCAGTAGCACAGGTAGGAACAGTACAAAAGATATTAAAAGCAGTTATATAAATTGATCATATCTTAGAAAAGTGGAAATCAGATGAGTATCAGTAGAGCAATATGCCCCAGTCCAGGGAGTTGGATAATCTCATTATCCTCCTTAGCTCCAGAGCCAATTCAGAGTTTTCCTCACCTCACTAACCTCTTAGAATGCTTAAAATACGATATGATTTATGCAAAAAAAAGTACACACTAACATCTATTTCTTAGAAAATACCTATGACACAAAGCACATTTAATTTCTTTTGTTTTCAGACTTAATATTTCAGATGATTTAAAGGTTGGCTTTTTCAACACAGACCATGCTACTCAAACCGATGCCAGTGAAATATTGTCAATAAATGAGTTGAGTTCATCTACACAAAAGTTACAACAGGTAAATCTGAATTTAATTTGAAACTTCTGAGATAATTTTTGGCATTAATTGCCTTCATGTTTCTTTCATAGACAGAAGTGAAATAATTAAGATTTTTAAAATACTAGCATCATTGAGCAACAGCTGAATAATAGTTGTGCTTTAAAAATTATTAATATAGGCTACAAATATTTATATCATGCTTACATAAGTTAATTTGTTTAGTAAAGTATTTTGATACTCTGGAATACTTTTGAAATCTGTGAACATTTTCTATTTATGATACTTTAAAAAATTATCAAACATTTTTGCATATAGATAGATAAATGTAGGGAATAATATAATGAATAACTGTGTAACCCATCATCCAACTTTGTCAAATGTTAACATTTTATTATATTTTGATTTTTTTTTTTTTTTTTTTTTTGAGACAGTGTCTTACTCTGTCACCTAGGCTGGAGTGGAGAGGTGTGGTCATAGCTCACTGCAGCTTCTACCTCCAGGGCCCAGGTGATCCTCCCACTTCAGCCTCACAAGTAGCTGGGACTACAGATGCACCCAGCTAATTGTTTTGTATTTTTTGTAGAGGTGGGATTTTGTCATGTTTTTCAGGCCGGTCTTGAACTCCTGGGCTCAAGCAGTCCACCCACCTCAGCCTCCCAAAGTACTGGCATCACAGGCACGAGCCATCTTGCCTGGCTGGATCTTTTTTTATTGTAAAGAAATATAGTATTGCATGTACTTTGGAGCTCAAGAGTTATTATTAAAAACCCTAATCAATAAAGCTGTTACATGAGGTAGCATCCCACTATTAATACTCTTGTCTACCTTGATTTTATTTTGACATTTGGAAGTTGTTCCATATTGACACATAAAAGAATTTTCTTATTTATTTCACAAGTATATTACATCACAAAATATACATCATATATTTAGCTTTCCATATTGATGGACATTTTGGTCATTTCTAATATTTTACTGTGATGAATAATCCACCACAGCACATACTCATATGCCAGTAAATCTGTGATGTAAATTCTTAAAAGTGGAATTTCTGAGTCAGAGGATGTATGCGTTAGTCATTTTGAAGGATATTGCCAAATTGCCCTGCATAGGGATTGTACCAATTTACACTCCCGCTAGTAACTTTTGAGGACATCTCTTACCTACATATTTGCCAATGTATTGTCTCCTTTTATACTTTCAGAAGCATTTTATTATTTTGTAACTAAGTGTGTCCAAATGACCATGTTCTGGTCAGATGGAAAAGGTCTGTGGCAGCTCTGGGGAGACTTCTTTGAGAGAGTTCAATGCACCCTCTGTCACTTCTCCCTTCATTCCTCCTTCCTTCCCTGCTTCTTCCCTCCCTCCTTCCCTCATTCCCTCCCTCCCTCCCTCTCTCCCTCCCCTCCCTCCCCTTCCTCCCCTCCCTCCCCTTCCTTCCCTCCCTCCCTCCCTCCCTCCCTCCCTCCCTTCCTTCCTTCCTTCCTTCCTTCCTTTCCTTATTTCTTTGGCTAGAGCATGGATTCTACCGTTTGGACCATGAGGTTGAAATAGTTTACAAAAGAGTCATAAGATGGAAGAATCTTAGATTATTTTATCCATTGATTGCCTAGGTAGCTTTCTAGGGAGATAAATTATTTCTCATTTATGCTTCTGTTATTTAGTTTTTTTTTTTTTTTTTTGAGACAGGGTCTCACTCTGTCACCTAGGCTGGAGTGTAGTGACGGTATCGTAGGTGACAACAGCCTCAACTTCCTGGGCTTGAGTGATTCTCCCGCCTCAGCCTACTTAGTAACTGGGACTACGGGTGTATACCACCACAGCTGGCTAGTTATTTTCTATACTTTTGTAAAGACAGGGTCTTAATATGTTGCCCAGGCTGGTCCCAAACCCCTGGCCTTGAGTGATCCGGCTGCCTTGGCCTCCCAAAGTGTTGGGAATGCAGGCTATTCCCAACCACACCTGGCTATTTGGACTTTTTGTTATAGCTGAACCAAAACCTGATGCAAATGTTAAATCAGATTAAGGAGGTCGTCTATTTCTAATTAATAAAGTCTTTTTTAAAATTATGAAAGACTGGTCTTGAATACTTTTCAGGGACTTATTGAGATGATCATGCAGTCATATGGCTTTTCTCCTTTATCTGATGATGTGGTAAAATTTGGGGGGTTTTTTGTTTTTGTTTTGAGAGTAGTAAACCATCCTTGACTTCCTGAAATAAACCCAACTGGATCATAATATTTCTTTTTGCATTTCTGCATTATTTGCTACTATTTTATTGAGGATTTATTTTCATCTGTTTTAAGTGAGATTTCCCTATAATTTTTTCTTTTTTCTTTCCTTTCCTTTTTTTTTTTTTTAAAAAAAAAAACAGGGTCTTGCTCTGTTGCCCAGGCTGAAGTGCAGTGAAAATCATAACGCACTGTGACCTTGAACTCCTGGACACAAGCAATTCTCCCACTGCAGCCTCCTAAGTAACCAGGATTATGGGAATGTACAGCCTTGCCCAGCTAATTTTTAAAGTTTTGGTAGAGATAGGGTCTTGCTATGTTGTCCAAGCTATACCGTATAATAACTCTTTTCTTATACTATTGTTGTTCAATCTTAGTACCAAGGTCACAATATCCTCATAAGATGAGAAGTTTCCTAGTCTATTCTCTGGAATAGTTCACATAAGATTGAGAGTATCTATTTCTTCAATATTTGTTAGAACTTGCATGTAAAACTATGCTTATTTTTATTACTACTGTTATTTTGTTATGTATGTATTACTGTTGTCTTAAATATTCTGGGTCAGTTTTGATGTTATGTTTTGCTACAAAAGTATTTATTTTTGTTAAATCTTCAAATTATTGGTATAATGTTTATTGCATTCTCTCATTATTTTTAAGTATTTATCGTATCTGTAGTTATATTCCTTTTTAAATGTTGAATATTGTCTACATATCTCCTTTCTTTTTTCTTAGTGACTCTTGGCAGAGTTGTCTATTTTATTAGCTTTTTGCAGACTCCCAATTTTAGGGTGTATTAATCCTCTCTATTGTATCTTTATTTTCTAGTTCATACATTTATTTTATTATATTTATTATTTTATTTCTTCTCCTTTCTTTGTGTTTACTCTGTTTTTCTTTTTTTGTTGTTTTGTTTTGTTTTTTTATGAGACAGGGTCCACTCTGTTTCCCAGGCTGGGGTGTAGTGGCAGAGTCACGGCTCACTGCAGCTTGGCTTCCTGGTCTCAAGCGATCCTCCTGCCTCAGCTGCCTGAGTAACTGGAACTACAGGCATGTGCCACCACACCTGGCTAATTTTTTTAATTTGTTAGAGAAGTAGGGTCTCACTGTGTTGCCCAGGCTGACCTCAACCTTCTGAGCTTAAGAGATCCTCCTGCCTCAGCCTCTCAAAGTGCTAGGATTATAGGTGTGAGCCACTGTGCCTGACTTGTTTTTCTTCTTTTAATTTCTTGAGTTGGATCTGGGTATCAATTAAGATAGCGTATAGCTCCATGTTTAGAAAAAACCAACTGCTTGGCTTCATAAAATATCAAGAGGTGTGGAGTTAGAGAATCCAGGGTTAGGGTAGTGGCTTTCTGATCATGTGATGTACATTCATTTTATCTTCTCACATCTCCACTATTAGTGCCTGGCTTTTGTTGCTCTAGTTCTGATACATTAGCAAAATGGCTGCTTCCCTTCCAGCCTCCATCTGCTTTTCATACAGGAAGGAGAATACGGGAGAAGTAGGGAGGAGTGGTAGCTATCTTAGGAAAGCAAAAACTTTCCATAGAAACCCTTGCCATATGTTTCATTGGCTGTATCTGTATCACATGACCCCTTGAACTATAAGGAGCTGCAAAGAAGTTATTTTAGCTATGCACATGGCTGCCCTGAACAATGTCATGTTTCCATCAGTAAGGAAGTACCATGGTACTGAAGATTGGGCTGACAGCTACCAATGCCTATAGATTGTAGATTTTGAGGCTTTATTCTCTTTTATAGGCATTAAACTACACATTTTCCACTAACTACATTTTTAGCTTCCACAAACTATAAAATACAGTATTTTTATTAGTATTTAAATGTAAACACTCAAATTTTTCATTTGTTTGTTCATTTCATTTATTCATCTGCATAATAAGAAGGTTATTAAATTTTCAAACGTGCTTTTTAGAATATTTTTATGTTGCTGATTTTTAAATTCAATGCTTTATTGTTGGAGAACACAGACCTTGTGAGACACATTATTCGGTAGTTTTTCTTGTTTCTGAGATGGAGTCTTGCTCTGTCACCCAGGCTGGAGTGCAATGGTAAAATCTCAGCTCACTGCAACCTCTGCCTCCCAGGTTCAAGCAATTCTCCTGCCTCAGCCTCCCGAGTAGCTGGGATTACAGGTGTGTACCACCACCCCTGACTAATTTTTGTATTTTTAGTAGAGACAGGGTTTCACCATGTTGGCCAGGCTGGTCTCAAACTCCTGACCTAGTGATACACACCCCTCAACCTCCCAAAGTGCTAGGATTACAGGCGTGAGCCACCATGCCTGGCCAGGAAATTTAAAACAATATGTATTTGTTAATTGTTGGATTTAAAAATACTTTCTATATGAAGGCTTTTGCCATATTGTCTGTTTTTGTCAATGTTAATTTATCTGTATCAACATTCTTTGGGCTAGTATTTACCTGGTAAATCTTTCTCATTTCTACACTGACATTATTTCTGTGTTGTGTCATATATATATATTTTTTTTTCAAAACTATATACAATTTATAGGATATATATGTATATATATATAAATTGTATATAGTTTTGAATTGTATATAGTTTTGAATAGACATATATATGTATATATATAGCCTATAAATTGTATATAGTTTTGAAAAATCCAGTCTAATAATCCCTTTTAATAGCTGTTTTGTTCTTAGTATTGTGACTACTGATACGTTTTTATTTTCCTGACACTTCTTTTAAAATTTTTCTTTATCTTTTTTCTATACCTTTTTTCTCCTTCCCTACTTTCCATTGTATTGATAACTTTTCTTTAGTTTCTATTCTCTCCTCTACTAATAATTATTTTATCTTTATTCTTTTAATGATTATCCTCAAGTTTGTACATTAACAGTGGACTAGGATTTGTCATTTCTACCAAACAAAACAAGAAATGTAGAACCTTTATCTCTAATCATGTCCTTCCGTCTTTTATATCATTATTATCGAGTATTTCAGTTGTTCTATCCTAATATTTTTGCAGTTAACAGTTCATAATGTTTTATGCAATTAATGCTTTTTAATATTTGCTCACATTTACCAATTTCTTTGCTCATCATTCTTTCCCATATCTCAGTACTTCTTTCTGAGTTTAATTTTTATTATTTCTAACAATCTTTTGATCCTTTGCTCAGCAAGGATTATAGTGTACTTAGCAAAAATATTGTACAACTTCATGTAAAATGCAATAACCTTGCAACTGTTTCCCACCCTCCCGTCTTTTCTGCTATGAGTATCATATGTATTTATTATACCTATATTATAAACTCAAAGTGTTTGCTTTAAATAGTGCTATAAATTTTAAGCTAATAAGAGGAAAAGCTGGTAATTTATCTGTACCAAGATACTTACTGTTTCCTTTGCTCTTTATTTTTCCACAAGATCTAGCTGGAAAATCCAGCACATATTATTTCTCTTTAGCCCAAAACACTTTCTTTAGCTATTCTCATACTGTAGGTATTTGGCACCTAATTCTGTTTTCTTTATTTAAAATGTTTTTACATTGAATATAGAATTCCGGGTTGACAAGTTGTGTTTTTTTCCCTCACTTTACAATTGCTCTGCAGGCATTAATAGTGTCTAAGAAAATAGCTGTTATTAGTCATTTCAAATGTTATTCCCCTGTATGTAGCTGTTTCTTTTCTGTCTGCTTTCAACATTTTCTTTTAATCTTTGGTTTTCGACAGCTTGATTATTATGTACCTAGGTGTGGTTTTGATGTATTTACCTGGCTTGGATAAATAAATTAAGCATCTGCAATCTGCACGTCTTACCAGATTTGGGAGACTTGGAGCCGCTAAATGTATCTTCAAATATTTGTTTTCCCCACGTTTTCTATCCTCTCCTTCTGCAATTCCAATTACTTGTATATTAGACTTCTTGTTATTAACTCACGAGTCCCTAAAGTGTCTGTTTTGTAAAATTTTTTAAATCTTTTTTCTTTCTGCTTTTTGACACATCTTCAAGTTCACATAGTTTTTTCTGCTGTCTTTGTTCTATTAAGTTCTTTCAGTGAAGTTTTAATTTCGGATATTGTATTTTTCAACTCTGGATTTTGTTTCCCTTATGAAAATTTTCTGTTTGTCTGTTGATATTTCCTTTTTTTATTTATTGCAGCGTATTTTTCTTTACCTTATCATGCATAGTTATAATAACTGCTTCAAAATCTTTGTCTGGCAATTCTGACATTTTGGTAATATTGGAATTGGTTTTAATCATTATTTTCTTAAGACTGAATTACATTTTCCTGGTTTTTGTATATCCAGTAATTTGGATTATATTGTAGACAGCGTGGATGTTATGCCCTGGGTTTTGATATATTCCCCTAAAGGCTATTGAGATTTTTTTTTTTTTAGCACACAATTAACTTGTTTGGATTAGAATAAAAAATTATTTTTTTTAGCAGTCCAAATCTTGGTTTTGTTCTATTATTTCTAGCTGGGATATTTGCAGTCTGCCCCATGTATGTATCTTTCAGGGTTGAGCTAGAGATTTGTTCAGAGGTAGTTTTTGTTTTGTTTGCTTGTTTGTTTATGAGACAGGGTTTCCCTCTGTTGCCCAGGGTGGAGTGCAGTAGCACAATCATAGCTCACAGCAGCCCCAAACTCCTAGGCTCAAGTGATCCTTCTGCCTCAGCTTCCCAGGTAGCTGGGACTACAGATACGCGTCACCATGCAGGGCTATTTTTTAAATTTTTTGTAGAGACAGGTCTCACTATACTGCTCAGGTTTGTCTTAAACTGCTGGCTTCAAGTGATCCTTCCTCCTCGGCTTCCCGAAGTGCTGGGATTATACACATAAGCCACTGTGCCTGGCTTGTTCCAAGTTTTTAACAGTGATTTTAGAGTTCCCCCTTTTGATTTTTTTTTTCTTTTCCAGGATCCCCACCCAAACACTGTCACTTAACTTCTCAAAGGTATTCTTGCCTGTAAAATAAAATCTTCTATATATTTTGAGAACACTAAAATGAAATTCTTCCCAGGATGCCAGTACACCAGGCATCAAGTTCCAAATTAACTGTGAGTTAGAAACCATTTGCAGATTTTGCAAGGGGAATGTTTCACAGTAGATGAGTGCCTCAGCTTGTGAATCAGATCAAGGACAATAAAGAAGGTCAGGGAGCGAAGAGAAAAAAACTGCGGAAGCGGCGTCTTTAGAGCGAACTATTGCCATGGTTCTCACGGGAGAGGGATGCAGAAACATTCCTCCTAGACTCAAAGCTAGAAAGGTAGGCTTCAGTGGAGCTTGAATGTATTTGCTGCTATTAGAAGACCCAACAGACTGGTGCTTGATTCGTGCTTGAGGACACTAAATGGGGCTGTGATTAGAAGATAGAATGGCTTGTTTGGGATCAGTCTGCACTTCTAGAGTTATTGGGGTAAAGGTTGTATAATTGTTTCCTGTAAACCATATGTGGCCCTGAGAGAGAGAGAAAAAAAACCAGTGTGGAGTCATTTTGGGTTCTGTCCAGTAGAGTGATCTGGAAGAACAAAGGACCACCAACAGCAGGGAGAAGAAAGAGGTGAACTCCAGATTCACAAAACTTGAGGAAGGAGCAGCAAGTGACCACTCAGAGTACAGAAGCATCTGCTTAGGTCAAGATATATCTACAAAGGAGAGGGTCCCAGCAGTCAGAATCTCTAGAGAAGCTACATCCGTGCCCAAGGGAAGAGAAGTTAGTTATCCTGCCCTGTAACACCATAGGGAAGCCACCCAGCAGGTGGGAACATCCCACCAGGTAGGAACATCTTTGCTCTTCTATCCCTGCTGCCTTTTATATAAGCATATCTATATATCCTGGTGGAGATACAGCCACTCGGGTGCTGGGGAGGAGGTGGGAAGAGAGAGCTCAAGGAAAAATCACACTCTTTTTCATTACCCTCAGCTTGGAGTACAGGGAAAAGTCTTATGAATGAAGTTGGAAGCATTTTAACTCCATATACATATATATATATATATATGTTTGTTTGTTTTTGAGACGGAGTCTTGCTGTTGCCCAGGCTGGAGTACAGTGGTGCCATCTTGGCTCACTACAACCTCCACCTCCTGGGTTCAAGCTCCCAAGTGACTGGGATTACAGGGGCACACTGCCACGTCTGGCTAATTTTTTGTGTTTTTAGTGGAGATGGGGTTTCACCATGTCAGCCAGGTTGGCCTCAAACTCCTGACTTCAGGTGATCTGCCTACCTTGGCTTCCCAAAGTGCTGGAATTACAGGCATGAGCCACCTAACCCAGTAGTTATATTCTAAATGCTACTCTGAGGCTGTATTTGTAGCGATGGTAAGACTCTGTTCCCAAGAATGAATAGAAAAGTCACGGGATTTTCTAGTTTGCATTCAGAGCAGGGGAAGATTACCTAGAGAATACATTTATTTTTAGATCTCTCTTTTTTCCTTTTTTTACTTTTTTGAAGAGACGGAGTCTCACTATATTGTCCAGGCTGGTTTCAAACTCCTGGGCTCAACTGATTCACCCACCTTACCCTCCCAAAGTGTTGAGATTACAGGTAGGAGCCTTAGTGAATACTTTGAAATAGATGGAAGTAGATAAAAATACATTGTGTTTCGATTGTTACAAATAGTTCTTAGTCAACATGCTGGTTATGTATTTAAATGCTTGTGCTAGTAGAGTCTCAGCAAGTGATGATTCTTGCCTATCTTTTCTGATCTGAAGTCCACATCTTGAGAACTTACCTTTTGAGATAGGACAGAAGGCCAACATTAGCACAGATATTTTATTCTGTGTGAGAAGAAACTGCTAAGACACTCTTGTCTTTTACTCCATCAGTATTTCTTAGTTTGGCAAATTAATTGTCACTTTGAAAGCCTGGCCACCTAGGATGGAATTACTGGAATCCTGCAGTGCATACAATCATCATAAACATCAGGACAGACCTCTGACCAGAAACGCAGCTTGTATGTCCAGAATCAGAGAATGCACTGGAGTTTTTACACAGATATACTCTCTATAATAATGTATATTTTTCCATTTTTTAAAATTGTTTGTATTTCTTTTTTAACTTTTATTTTAGGTTCAGGGATACATATGAAGGTTTGTTACATACGTGAACTCACGTCACAGGGGTTTGTTGTACAGATTATTTCATCACTCAGTTGCTAACTCCCATGAGTTATTTTCCCTGGTCCTCCCCCTCCTCCCACTCATCACCCTCAAGTAGGTGCCAGTGTGTGTTGTTCCCATCCGAAATGATGAGTTCTCATTATTTCGCTCCCACTTACTAAGTGACAACATGCAGCATTTGGTTTTTGTTCCTGCATTAGTTTGCTAAGGATACTGTTTTCCATTTTTAGATGATGAAATCCCTCCAGGTGGATTTTGGGTTCCTCAAACAATCGATTCAGTTAAAGTTTGAGGATCGACTAAAAGAGGAATCTTTGCGTCTCTTCAACATTCTACATGATAGGATCCTAGAAATTGAAAAGCATTATCAACAGGTAAACGTTCTCTTATTTCTTTTGTTTTTATGGTGGATTGATACTGGGCTTAGATGTGTATGCAGTGCAGTTTAGAATTTAGTGACTCATGAGGGCAGTTCAATTTGTATTACTTGCATGTCACATGGTAAATAATACACAGAGCTTCACTATATGTCAGGGACTTGTGTAAGTACTTGGCATATGAACTCGTTTAATTCTTACAGTTACCTTATGAAGTAGGCACAATTATTTTCCCTCTTCTACAGATGAGAAAACTGAGGCACAGAAAGGCCGATTAACTTGTTCAAGGTCACCAGTTAAAAAAGAGGAGAGGCCAAGCACACATGCCTCTAATCCTACCACTTTGGGAAGCCACGGTGGGAGGCTGGCTTGAAGCTGGGAGTTCAAGACCAGCTTGGGCAACATAGTGAGACCTTGTCTTTACAAAGAATAAAAACATGAGCCAGATGTGATGTTGCAGGCCTGTCATTCCCAGCTACTTAGGAGTCTGAGACAGGGGAATCACTTGAGCCCAGGAGTTCAAGGCTTCAGTGAGCTATGATCACATCACTGCACTCTAGCCTGGGTGACAAGGTGACACTTCCATCTCAGAAAAACAAAAACAAAACAGACATTACTATTATTTCTGTGCCTTAAAAACAAACAAACAAAAAAACATCTTTTGCTGGCCACACCATACTAAGTACCATGCTAAGCCTTTAAAATATATTTACTCTTTAAATCTCTCAAAATGTTAAAATGGAAATCCTACTGTCCATGATTTACAGATAAAGAAACAGCTTGCCAATGTTAAGTAACTTACTTAAGGTCAGACAGATAGTGAAGGGCACGAGGATATTTAAATTCAATCCTATCTAACTCTGAAGCCTATTTGAGGCTGGGAGGTGATGGCTCAGGCCTGTAGTCCCAGCACTTTGGAAGGTTGAGGCAGGAGGATCGACTGAGGCCAGGAGCTCAAGATCAACCTGGGAAACACAGCAGTACCGCATCTCTACAAAATATATGTCAAGATAAAGTTTTTTAGAAAAGGATAAAGCCTATTTGTTGTTTATACTCCATGCTGAAATCAGAATTGATGTCAGAATCACAGGTATTTTTTTTAAATGCACTTCTATTGTTAATCTAAACAGATGTAATCAAATTATTTGATTAATCAGAAAATAACTCTAGTTTACAGATTGGCACTATAGATTTCTTTTCATGAGCATATTCCATTCAAAACATACAAGGACTAGAAGATAGGCATCACAAACAGATTTTACTACTTTTAAAAATATTCTAGGAAGGCACTAAAAGACTTTACTCAAGTGCAAAATGAAGTGTTCAAATTATCTGTATGTATTTTATCCATATGATCTCTCTATTGCTTTTGGTTGAGTGTAAGTAAAAGTCAAATGTGTCATAATAGCTGCAGGGTGGGAGAAATGATTGTGAATTGAAGTTTTCAAGAGATTGTGATGATTCACATTATGTTTTTTTACTATGAGTCCCTCCCTAGTAGGTGTGGGTCATATTTGGAAATACATTACGGTGCTTATCGCATTTATTTTTATTTGCAGAATGAGGATAAGATGAGAAAATCCTTCAATCAGCAGTTAGCTGACGCCATCGCTGTTATCAAAGGGATGTACCGGGTGAGTTTTTGGTTTTGGTGGCATCGCTGTGGGCAAGGCTAACTTCAGCTGTTGTGTGCAGAGTGGGAGTCACCTTGGCTTCCCAGTCTTGTTTCCAGTTTTGCAAGTCTGATTCCTCAATTCAGGTCACCTTAGAGGGATCAGGCCTAGGACTGTTTATGCTCATGTTAAAACGCTTTCCAGAAACTGGAAAATTCTAATCTGGTATTCAGGACACCTGGGCATGTACCAAAGTAATCCAAAGTTTATTTGCTGGGCATACCTGAATAGATGAAGGTCAGACGATCCTGAGAGAGTGGAGAGAATCTGTAGTCAACTCCAGTGAGTGGTTTCTGACCCTTGGTGGGTTAACTTTTCCAAGGACAGGAACATTTCTGTCTTCCAAACACATACTTCATTCTCCTTCACGATGGGAAAATTCCTACTTTTTGTTGCTTTTTTTGGCCGCAGCAGAGATCTTGTGCTTCTTTTAGCGTTTGTAACCATATTCTCACCTTGCATTTCAGTATACTTCCGTAAATAAATTTTTTGCATACTTCTTTTTGGGCACTGTTTGCAAGCTTCTTTTCATAGCACACAACACATTTGTATTTAATGATGTAATTGCTTGCGAAGTGTCTGTGTTCCATGCCAGACTGTGAACCTTAAGATGTCCTCTGTGTTACTCTCTGCCGTGGCCCTGCCTTTAGCGCTGTGCCTGCTACAAAATTAACAACCAGCTACTGATTGCTAAATGCATGAATGGTCGCCTGTACCTGTGGCAGACAGTGGTACTGCCTGCTCAGATGTCATTTTCCTCACTGCTTTTTTTATTCACAGAGGCACTTCCAACTATAGAAGCCAAAATGCAAGATTCTTCCTCTTCCAGCTGCCTTTTCAGCTATAGCACAGGCATAGGCAAAGTCAGGTCCCCAGCCAATGAGACTGAAGGTGAGCTGGCTGTGAGATTCTGGGGGAGGTTGTTCTTCCTAAGTAAAAAGGACTCATAAAGGTATCACCTCACACCGGTCAGAATGATTACTCTTAAAACATCAAAAAAAATAGCAGATGCTGGTGAGGTCTCAGAGTAAAGGGAACACTGGTTTATGATGGGAATATAAGTTATTTCAGCCACTGTGGAAAGCAATCTGGAGATTTCTCAAAGAAGTTAAAACAGAACTACCATTTGACCAAGCCATTCCTTTGCTGGGTATATATCAGAAGAAAGATAAATCATTCTACCATAAAGATGCATGTATATGTTTATTGCAGCACTGTTCACAATAGCAGAGACATGAAATCAACCTAGATGACCATGAACGGTGGACTAGATAAAAAAAAAATGTGGTACATATACACTGTGGAATATTAGGCAGCCATAATAAAGAATAAAATCATGTGTTTTGCAGCAACATGGATGGAGCTAGAGACCACTATCCTAAGCAAATTAATACAGGAACAGAAAACCAAACACTGCATGTTCTTACTTCTAAGTGGGAGCTAAACATTGAGTACATGGACACTAAGAAGGGAACAAGAGACACGGGGCCTACTTGGGGCTGAAGAGTGTGAGGAGAGTGAGGATCAAAAAACTACCTATCAGTTACTATGCTTATTACCTAGGTGACGAAATAATCTGTATACAAAACCCCTGTGACATGCAATTTACCCATGTCACAAACCTGCACATGTACCCTCTGAACCTAAAACAAAGTTGGAAAGGGAAAAAAAGGGTCTTATGGGAAACCCTTTCTTTTTCTTTGCTGACATTTTATGTCTCCTTCTGATGCTTGGAATTGCTGTGGACACTGTGAAACCAAGACTGAGATCCTCTGGATGTGCTGAGGTAGCAAGGCGGACAGATGAGAAGCAGGCAGCTGCCAGCTCCACGAAATGAATTGGGGAATGTTAGCTCCAGTTCGTTTACCGGAAGCATTTGTGTAATCTTGGAAGTATTTCTTCCTTAAATATTTAGAACTGCCGGGGAGCAAGCTTGGGCCTGGAGGGATTGATCGATTGATAGCAGTCATTTCTCACTCTTGATTATTATGAGTAACTCTGGACTTGCCCTGCCTCTGGCCCGTTATTTATGAGAAGACAACCCCTCAGTGTCAGCTTTTCAGTTACTAGGAGCTGAAGACATCCCAGGACCGATTGCTCTGCTAAATCTCTGTGACTCTGTGCCAGACTGTTTCCAAAGGTACCTGTGACACTGTCTCCTACTTACCTGCTCTTGTGCAATGTCACCTCACTTCTCTCCCATCAAGAGGTGGAGTCTGATTCTCCTCCCTTGAATCAGGGCTGGCCTTAGTGACCTGTTGATAAGCACAGAATGTGGAGGAAGTGAAGTCGTGAGATTTCTAAGTCAAGGTCAAAAGAAGTCTTACACTTCATCCTTCTACTCTCCGAATGTTTGTCCTCTGGATTGTCCCTCTGAATTCAGCTACCATGCTGACAAAAACGCATGCCATACGGGAGATCTGCATGTAGGTACTGGGTCTCCAGGCTTATCTGAGCCCAGCCTTCGAGTCGTCCCAGCCCACGAGTCAAAAATATGAGTGGAGAAGCCTCCAGATGACTCCAGCTGCCAGCCATGTAGAATCTTTTTTGTGTGAGGTCGCAGGTCTGACAGAAGAGAGCTAAGCCATCCCTGCTATGCTTCTACTAATTCCTGACTCATTGAATTTGTGTTTTTCTTTGTTTTGTTTTTTACTTTTGAGTCTTTTTTTTTTTTAGAGACAAGGGTCTCACTGTCTCCCAAGCTAGAATGTAGGGTGTGCTCATAGCTCACGATAACCTTGAACTTCTGGACTCAAGTGATTCTCTTGCCTCAGCCTCCTGAGTAGCTGAGACAACATGTATGTGCCAGCACACCCAGTTAATTTAATATATATATATATATAAAATAGAAATGGAATCTTGCTATGTTGTCCAGGCTGGTCTTGAACTCCTGTCCTCAAGTAATCCTCCTGCCTCAGCATTCCAGAGTCCTAGGATTACAACCATGAGTCACTATGCTGGCCTAAGTAATATGTAATGGAAGAAGATGGAAGAAAGAAAGAGAGGAAAGAGGGAAGATGAGTATTGTCTGTAGCAGTTTTATATATATTGACTTTGTAACCAAAAATCTTGCTAAATTTTCGTGTTTATTTTAATAATTTTTCTTTTTTTTTTTTTTTTTGAGATGGAGTTTCGCTCTTGTTACCCAGGCTGGAGTGCAATGGCGCGATCTCGGCTCACCGCAACCTCCGCCTCCTGGGTTCAGGCAGTTCTTCTGCCTCAGCCTCCTGAGTAGCTGGGATTACAGGCACGCGCCACCATGCCCAGCTAATTTTTTGTATCTTTAGTAGAGACGGGGTTTCACCATGTTGACCAGGATGGTCTCGATCTCTTGACCTCGTGATCACCCACCTCAGCCTCCCTAAGTGCTGGGATTACAGGCTTGAGCCACCGCGCCCGGCCTATTTTAATAATTTTTCTATAGACTCTTAGGTGCTTTCTATGTAAACAGTTATACAATTGAGAATAATTATCTTTTTGTCATTTGATTTTTCATAACCATGTAATCATTCATTTTTGTTTACTGTGTGGGTTGTGCTTCAAGTACAATGTGAAGAAAAGTGGTGACAGCAAGCATCCTGATCTTATGTCTGATCTTACAGGAGATTAATATAATTTTTCAATATAATGCATAATGCTTGCTGTCAGCCTACTTTTTGGCTAAGAGACTTTAAAATAATCATGAATGGATTTTTAATTTTATCAAACGTGGGGCTTAATGCACCTAATGGGAGGTCATATGATTTTTCCTTCATACTCTGTTGCCCAGGCTGGAGTGCAGTAGTGCAATCATAGTTCATTCCAGCCTCAAACTCCTGGGCTCAAGGGATCCTCCTGCCTTCACCTTCTGAGTAGCTGGGACCACAGGCATGCACAACCATGTCCAGCTAAAAACTTTTTTGTAGATACAGGGGTCTTGCTATGTTGCCCAGGCTGATCTCAAACTCCTGGCCTTAAGTGATTCTCCTGTTTCAGTCCCTTAAAGTCTTGGGATTGCAGGTGTGAGCCACTACACCTGGTCTGCTTAGGCTATTGCAAATCTATACTCATCAGTGAGGTGATCTGTACTTCTCTTTTCGTCTTATACTCTTCTTGTTGCATTTTGCTGTCGGGGTTAGGCTAGCTTCACGAAATGAATTGGGGAATGTTGGCCCCATTTTGTTTACTGGAAGCATTTGTGTAATCTTGGAAGTATTTCTTCCTCAAATATTTAGAACTTCCAGGGGAGCAAGCTTGAGCTTGGAGAGATTGATTGATATCAATGATTTCTTATTCTTAATTATTATGAGGCTATTTGGGTTTTCTCTTTCTTTTTAGTCAGATATAGTAAGACGTTTATTTAGGGTCTTGCCCATTTTCATTTAAGCAACCAAAAAATTTTTTGGAATGAAGACAATATGTATCTTATTGTTCTCCTACATTTTAATGCTTTATTAATTAATTAATTTATTTATTTATTGAGACAGAGCCTTGACCTCCTGTGCTCAAGCAATCCTCCCACCTCAGCCTCCTGAGTAGCTGGGACCACAGATACATGCCACCATGCATGGCTAATTTTTGTATTTTTTGTAGAGACTCAGTTTTGCCATGTTTCCCAGGTTGGTCTCGAATTCCCGTACTCAAGCAATCCATCCGCCTTGGCCTCCCAAACAACTGGGATAACAGGTGTGAGCTACTGTGCCTGGCCTAATGCTATATTTTAACCCCACTGAAAACACTGTATTATTATTACTGTCCATTTTCACTGCATTTTGAAATATCACTTATTGTATTTTTTATGACTAGAAGACACACTTTGCCTATTTTTTATGGCTCTTGTGCTTGGCTCATACTTTCAGTTCTGCTATTTGTAGAAACATATTTAAATATGCTTGATTTATGTTTTACGTTTCTAAATTTTCATATCTTCCACTTTTGAGGGTCTGATAAGTGCTGGCTCTCATTCATATGTCATTTCTTTTTCTAGCGGGGGACAGGGAAGGTCTTCCTCTGTCACCCAGGCTGCAGTACAGTGGGGTGATTGCAGCTCACTGCATCCTTGATCTCCTGGGATCAGGTAATCCTCACCCCTCAGCCTCCCGAGTAGCTGGGATTATGGGTGTGTGCCACAATGTCCAGCTAATTTTTGTATTTTTATAGAGGTGGGTTTTCACCATGTTGTCCAGGCTGGTCTCGAACTCCTATCCTCAAGCAGTCCACCTGCCTAGACCTCCCAAAGTGCTAGGATTACAGGGATGAGTTACCACACCTGGCCACATGTCATTTACTTTGAATTTCATGATTTTTGACTTTGAGCTTATATTTCTATGAAAACTGTCTGAGGTTTGGAATAGAAATGACTTTCTTGAGAGAATATTTGTGCTTGCTTCTGCCAGTCTCCTGGGTCTGTGTCTACTTTGCCTAATTCTCAGCTTAAGATATTTTTTAGACCATGTAGATGTATGAACTAGGGCTGCAAACTGTGTGGGCTATCTTCTGGTTATAAACTCTCAGAAGAGGGTATCTTGGGGGCCTTTTTGGCAGTGAGAGTTGCTTTTCCTCTTCCTGTCCTTAGAGCCAATTTCTAAACAGGAACCAATTCTGGTGCCAGCAGGATGGCAGTGAGCGCAGGGTTCAAGGTGGTTACTTCTAGTTCATTCTCACACTGAAAGTCTAGCCCTATAGTCTCTTACAATCTAAAGGTAAGAGGAGGAGGTCCTCCACTCTGAGGAGGACCCAGGTGCTCTTTTTCCTCTCTGTGCCCTGTAAAAAGTTGCAAACCAAAGCTTACATTTACCTGGTTTAGCAATGTCCTAGAAGTGAAGGCCAGTTTTCAGTGTTCTGCATTCTGCTGCAGATTTCTCCATTTGGTTAATTTTGGTCTAAGAATTCCATACAGCTCATACAATACATTTAAGCCTGGACAACATAGCAAGACCCTATCTCTACAAAAATAAAGATAACAAATTAGCTTGGAGTTGATAGCAGCAGTGGCCTGTCTGGAGCAGCTGCTGCAAAGATGCCAGCTGCAGCAGGGGAGACATGGCCAGGGCTGTGCACTCTGCTGAGATGGCAGGAGCTAGGAACAAGCAGGAGCCATGCCTGCCTTCTGAGTTGGTGATGGGGGAGCCCCAACCTCCTAAAGGCAGCTGCAGCTGCCCAGCTACGGCTGCAGACCCAGGCATCCCTATGCTCTTGTGGGCCTGGGAAGTCCCCCACCCCCACAGGCTCAGAAATGCCTGCTCCTGCTGCCTGGCCTCTCCTCACTTCTGGCACCCACTCTGATTTTGGAGCAAAGTTGTGGCCAAGCCCAGGTGCTATCTTGACCTAACCAGGTGTGTGTGTGTGCATGGCATGGTGCTAACACACCAGCCCCCTGCTGCCTCAGCCCCCTCCAGACTTTGGGTGCCAACGATCACAGGAGGGAGGCCCAGGGGATGCTGAGGGTGGCATAGCACAGGCCTGTAGGTGTCCCTTGGCACAAACAGCCTGGGCACCATGAACAGCAGCAGGAAGCAGACAGGATCCTGAGTGGAAATGGGTGGGTCCTCAGTGAAGCCCCACCTTCAAGCCAGGGATGGCCCAAAGCCTGGGGGCCAGGCTGCCAATTCCACAGACTGGAGTGAGAACTTATGGTGCTTTTTTCAGGCCCACCCATGGCCTCCTATTGACCAATCAGCATGCACTTCCTTCCCTTTGAAGCCCATGAAAACCCTAGACTCAGCCGGACTCTGGCAGAGGTTGAAATGACCTGCCTGCAGAAAGGAGCTACCCACTGTGGGTCTCCTCTCAGCTGAGAGCTGAACAGGTATCAGGATGACCTGCCTGCAGAAAGGAGCTACCCTCTGCAAGTCTTCTGAGAGCTCTACTGTTGTTCAATAAAGCACCTTTTTGCCTTACTCACTCTCCAGTTGTCTGCATACCTCATTCTTCCTGGATGTGGGACAAGAACTCGGGACCCACCAAATGGTGGGACTGAAAAAGCTGTAACACAAACAGGACTGAAACACACCTCTCACTCACCACGTTGCAGGCAGCAAGAAGAAGAGAAGAGCTGCAGCTCTTTGAGGACCCTAGGAGCTTCCTGAGGAGACTCCAGACCCAAGGAGCTTCCTGAGCCAAGGTTGTGGTACCCTCTTTGGGGCTCTGAGGTTCCTGGTGTCTCCAAGTTTCCAGGTGCCACTGTGTTCTCCTGTGCCAGCAGTGGAAGTCCCTGTGGTATACCTGGTTCAGGTGTGGCCTTACAGGGAGCTGGCACCCTTGCTGGTGCCTAGAGCTGCCCACACCACTGCAGCTGGCATGCCTAGCTGTGTGTAGTGGCCGGGCCCCATGCTCACTCATGCACCCCTTGTTGCTCTGTGCCTGGCTCGTGCTTGGCACGCATGGGATCCAGGCTGGTAGCATGAGCCAAGCACAGCCTTCCAGGCCAAACAGGTGGAATGAGCCCAGGAGGCCCAAGCAAAACTCAGGCGAAAGCACCACTGACCACAGAGGTTTCTGGCTGGCAAAGCAACACCCCAGGGATCCCATGATGGCATTGGTGGCACATGCTTGTAGTCCTAGCTACTGAGGAGGCTGAGGTAGGAGGACTCTTTGAACCCAGGAGTCTGAGGTTAGCAGTGAGGGATGATCATGCCACTGTACTCCATCCTGAGGGACGGCATGACCCCGTCTCTAAAAGAAAGAAAAGATGTGTTTAATCTGTCTTATCCAAAATTCTTGTTTACAATGAGAGAATAAATCAGAATTTTGTAGTTTTTAAAAACATGCTTTTGGACAGGCATGGTGGCTCATGCGTGCAATCCTAGCACTGTGGGAGGCAGAAGTGGGTGGATTGCTTGAGCTCAGGAGTTTGAGACAAGCCTGGGTAACATGGTGAGACCCTGCCTCAAAAAATACAAAACGATTAGCTGGGCATGGTGGCCTGCACCTATGGTCCCAGCTACTCGGGAGGCTGAGCAGGGAGTATTGCTTGAGCCTGGGAAGTTAAGGCTGCAGTGAGCTGTGATCACACCACTGCACGCCAGCCTGGGTGACAGAGTGAGACCCTGTCTCAAAATAAACTAACAAACAAAAAAATAAAACAAAATTTAAAAACACATGCTTTCTAGTTCTTTGTGTCTTCCACAACTTCTGGGATATTGATCTATTTCTAATGTCTAAATAAAGCTGAATAATGAATATCACTCTTTGTCCATATGTCTTATATTTCTAGGTATAGAAAGTCATGAAAGGATTACAGTCTTCATATTCATCAGTTTTTCATAAATATATGTTGGTTAAATATGCTTAATTGTGGTTAGTTGACTTATGAAAAAATTCTTTATATGAAATTAAAGTCATTGTTGGAATCCTTGCTTTGGCTTGTTGGTGTCACTTGGCTCCATGACGTCAGACAGCCTTCCTAATCCTGGTCACCCAGTTTGCTGAGGCTTAGTCACAAGGAGGAACGGAGGAAAGTTGAAAATACACCGAACTGCTGTATACACTTTGTAGCATGACAAATATAAATGACTCTCTGCTGCCCTCTGGAGGCCAGTTAAGGACACAAGTACCTGTACTTTTTTTTTTTTTTCCAGCTGTGAAAGAGTTTCTAAATCTATTTAACTTTTACTTCTAGTCAATTGAATACAGCAAAGGTGAAGAGTTGTATGTGATTATGTTGCATAAAAGGGTAGCATATGTCTTGCTAGTGTCTCTCTGTTGGCTTGGAGGGAGTGAGAGGCTACGTTGGAGAAACTCATGTGGCAAAGAACTGAGTGTAGCCACGTCTGACAGCAAGAAATGGAAGCCTCCAGTCCTATAGCTGCAAAAAGTGGATTCTTCTACAACCTGAGTGAGCTTGGAAGCAGATCCTTTCACAGTTGTGCTTTGGATGAGATCACAGCCCTGAATGCCACCTTAATTGCAGCCCTGGGAGACTCTAAACAGAGGACCTACCTGAATTCCTGACCAACAGAAACCGTGAGATAATAATAGAGAGAGAGTGTGTGTGTGTGTGTTATTTAATTTTCTTTTTCATTAGAGATAGTGTCTCACTATGTTGCCCAGGCTGTTATCAAACTCCTGACCTCAAGTGATCCTCTACCTCGGCCTCCCAAGGTGCTGGGATTATACGTATGAGTCACTATGCATGGCCAAACACCTGTGTTTTAAGCCACTACATTTGGGGCAAAACTTTTATGCAGCAATAGATAACAAATTCATCCTTCATATTTAGGGAGCCATTGAATCCTACCAGTTTTGTTGTTGTTGTTGTTGTTGTTTGGGTGTTTGTTGTTCGAAACAGGGTCTTGCTCTGTCACCCAGGCTGGAGTGCAGTGGCACCATCTCTGCTACCTGCAACCTCTGCCTCCCAGGCTCAAGCGACCGTCCCACCTCAGCCTCCCAAAGCACTGAGATAACAGGCATGAGCCACCACACCTGGCCATCCTGCCAGTTTTTACCTCCTAAATCTGTGTCTTGTCATCTTGCCTCTGAACTAATTTAGGTAGTCGGCATTGCTCACCTGGCCTGTGACTGGTGCCTTCTTATTCCTTTTGGTCTTTATTAAGTCCATTGTCTGCCCAGTCATCTGAGGGGTCTTTCAAAACACAAGTCTGACCACATCCTGCCCTGTGTAAATCCTTCAGTGTTTTCTCTGTGGCTTTAGGATGTTTATGTGCCTTAGCATGGCTCAAAAGGTCCTTACATCTCTTCACTTTGATCTGTTTCCACTTCTTAGCTAAAACTTTACCCTCCCGCCATACTGAGCCATCACCTGCTTCCCTAAGCTCACCTCAAGTTATTAACCACCTCCTTGGAATTTTCACATAATGTCCCCCTCACCTTCCTTTTTCTCTACTGAATAGTAGATGTAGGCAATGTATCACATTTACCCAGTACATATCGATCTGTCCACTAGACTTTTCCTGAAGAGCAGGGAATGAATCTTACTCATCTTTGTGTTATTCTCCTAGCAGAATGCATGGCACATAATAGGTTTTTTGACAAATTTGTGTTGAATATAATCAAGAAGAGTGTCAGGATAACTTGACCTACACCATGGTTCTGGAAATAGATCATGAATTCCTAGGGGAAATTTCCTAGAATAAAGGCAATCCATATGTTGAAGTCTTTAACTGTTCTTTCACTCAAGTGTTGATTCATTTCATCCATCTATTGACTGATTTTGCAGCAGAGACAGAAGCAGTCCTTATGCTCATTATATATAATCTAGTGGTCAGGAGAGATAATAAACTTAGCAATTAGAGTCCACATTAGAGGTTTGTACTCAATGGGTGCATAACTCTGGCAATGTGAATGAATAGTTAAGGAAGACTTTTAGGAAAAGGTGATTGTTATACTGAGCCTTGAAGGACAATGAATATTTGGGGAGGATGGAATGAAAACAGGGAAAGAAAAGAGATGGTGAAGGAGAGGTGATAAAAGAGATTTTGGGCCAGGTGGGGTGGCTCAAACCTGTAATCCCAGCACTTTGGGAGGCCGAGGCGGGTAGATCATGAGGGCAAGAGATCGAGACTATCCTGGTCAACATGGTGAAACCCCGTCTTTACTAAAAATACAAAAAAAAAATTAGCTGGGCGTGGTGGCGCGTGCCTGTAATCCCAGCGACTCAGGAGGCTGAGGCAGGAGAATCGCCTGCACCCAGGAGGCGGAGGTTGCGGTGAGCCGAGATCACACCATTGCACTCCAGCCTGGGTAACAAGAGCGAAACTCCGTCTCAAAAAAAAGAGAGAGAGATTTTGAGGAATTGGTTCATGCAATTATGGGGGCTGGCAAGTCTGGAATTTGCAAGGCAGGCCAGCAGGCTGGAGACCCAGGAAAGACTTGATATTACAGCTTGAGTCCGAAGGCAGTCCTCTAGCAGAATTTCCTCCTCTTCCTCAGCGAATCTCAGTCTTCCTCAGAAGGCCTTCAACCTATTGGATGAGCTCCATCCACATGATGGAAGTATGAAGGGTAATTTGCTTTATCAATTTAAATATTAATCTCATCTAAAAAACGCCAGCAACATCTGACATTTGAAAAAGTACCATGGCCTAGCCAAGTTGATGCATAAAATTAATCATCACAGATACAGATATGTGTCTAGCTGTATGTGAATGTGTATATGTAAGTGTGTACATACATTTATGTATATCCTAGTTCTGTTTTGGGAGAGCGCCTAGAGGAAATGACACTCCTATAGCAATGAGCACTCCTAGCATTCAGCTTTTAGATTTAAATGATATTCGACACTAAAAGAAACCAGGGCTTTTTGGAGGAGTAGCCAACTACTCAGGGCAGTGACGGGGAAAATGGAAGAAGGATTCTGTCATAACCAAAAGTATTTTGTCATAAAAGCAAGGAAATGCTAAAAAATGATGAAGGCATGTCAGAACACAGGGGTCAGCTGCTAGGGGCTTCCTTCATTCCACTTGGCCAATTTGGGAAAATTCATGCATCAAAATAAATAATGATAATTATGAATTGTAACCATCTGAGTAAAATAGGAATCCATGAGTTCACTGTTATAAGCAAATAAGTGAATAACTAACACGTTTATTTATTTCAGGAAAATATTTCTCTTACAGACTTTCTAAAATATCTCCCTACAAATGCATATTAATACTTTAACTGAGAGTAAATACATATTAATTAAGGAGTATAACATGTATTAACTAGTAAGTTTAATACTTATTAATTAATTTTATAGTGACGAAAGTTGATACATCATCTTAACTAAATGATAAAAGTTAATATCTCCAGTAACAAGACAAATCAAATGAGTAACCTCTGATCATAATATTGATATATGATTTCTATATCCAACATCATATTAGTCCAGGGTCCTATTCTAAGAATTTTGCAAGTATTAACTCATTTATTCTTTATATAATTGTCATTCACATTTGATACACATAGAAACCTAAATACAGAAAGGTTAAGTGGCTTTCCCAAAGTCACACAGCCGTTAAAGCGCAGAGGTAGCATTCAAACCCAGGCATTCTGACCTCAGAGTCCATGCTCTTGGCTTGTCCTTTGAAGTAAGCAGCTGGCTTGCTTCCCATCCAATACTGCCATAGTCAAATCTAAATGTTCACAGAGTAATTACTCCCTAGTTGCATACTAACAGCTGGACCTCAATAAGAATGGTGGCACCAAATATAGAAATTTTATTTTAGAAACTTAATGAGACAATTGGAATTCCAAAAACATTTTTCTTGAACAGCAGGCAGTAGCAGTTTTGACGTTGTTACTGAACCCAATCTGGAATCTCAAACTTCTGTGTTTGATAAGTGAATTGTGCGGCTTGATTGAACCTTGTCATACTCAGGCCCTCAAGCCCGGATGCCTGTTGCCCCTGTCAACTTGACCATTGCCAGAAAGAACCTCAATGAAGGACGGGTAGTCACATGACTAGGTTGGGATTGAACTAAAGGGTAATACATTTTTTAGTAAACCACCCTAAGATGGGATGTTAAAATTGGACTCTTGGGTTTCAGTTTCATTCAAAATCCCAAAAGTAGAGAACACAACACTGTTTAAAAGGGAGGTGTTGCTGGGCGTGCTAGTTTCTGCCTATAATTCCAGTGCTTTGGGAAGCTGAGACAGGAGGATGGCTTCAGCCCAGGAGTTAGAAGCTGCAGTGAGCTATGATCATGCCACTGCACTCCAGCCTGGGTGACAGACCGAGACCCTATCTTAAAAAAAAAAGGTGCCAGCAGGATGTTCTTTGCAGGACATTCCAAGACTTGGTGGAGCTACTTAACTGGCCAGTACTAGCCCATCATCCATCTCCAGGAAATATAAGAGATATCTTGAATTTGGAAATGGACAAGGCTGGTCAAGAGGTCCACTTTGGGGAAGGCAGGCAACATGGAGTGCTGACCTGCAAATGGGAGAAAGAAAGGGAGTATTTCTCCTTCGAGCTGAGCAAGGGTGGAGTCTTGGACCACTTAGAGAGCTTGATGAGCATCCCTGGGTCTGAGGAACATGAGGATTGGTATGGGACTTGCCAGGAAAATTCTACAGAAGAGTGAGAGAGCTGATGGAGCAGACCCCTGTTGACAAGGACCATCTGAGAGGTGACAGGATGCCATCAGAGGGGCAGGTCCTGGGACAGAAGTCAGGGAGTTACTGCTACTATGGTGGGCACTGCAGGAGGCCAGGCCAGCACTGACCCTCCTGGGAACCAAGAGCAGCAGGTTACTGTCAACTGACACTTGTTTCTGTTCCTTTAATGTTTCTCCCTCTCCTCTGCTCCAGACCACTGGAGACTCTCAAATTGGAGAAATAAAAGGAAGAGAGACTCAACCCTTCTCCACTACAGACTGCCCCGTGTAAGGGGGGCCAGAGTGGTGGGGGGACAGA